CTGTGCACACACACGGTTCTCTCGCTGTGCGCACACACACACACACACACACATACATATATACGTGTGCATACGGGGGGGAGCTGTGCACACCCGTAATTCGCTCACTGCCTGTATATACAGACATAGGGAGAGGGCGGTCACACACAAGTTCTCCTGTGCTATACATATACATACATACATGCTGCTATATATACGTGTGTGTATAGACAGAGAGCTGTTCTCTCTCACATGCACGCTCCCCCCCTCGCCATATGCACACACACATACACACACACGCGTGCACATATACTGTACATACATGTATAGATAGAGAGAGAGCTGCTCTCAGCCACACACGCTTCTCTCCCTACACAGACGTACGTACAGGTATACTTAGGGAGAGCGCTGTTCACACACACACACACTCTTCTCCTGTTACATATGATATACAGGTATACAGGCACATAGGCGTGCATACTTATAAACATGTATGTGCACACACAAAGCTGTTCACGCACATAATTCTCTCGCTATATTATAAATATGCCGAGGTACATATATATATAATGAGAGAGACCTGCGCTCTCTCTCTCTCACGCACACGCTTGTCTCTCTGGAGCGAGATCTATGCACACATATATAGGTGCGCACGTACCCATATGCACAGAGAGGGCGTGGGACTATATACATGCACACACATATAGCGGGAAGGGGGGAGCTGCTCATCCGCAATCGTCTCTCACCACACGCACACGCACACGCACACGCACACGCACACACGCGTACTCTCTCTTCCCGTATAGGTACGTATGTATAGAGAGCTGTTCTCACCCATGGCACTCCTCCCTCTTGCTGTGTGTATATGTATATGCGTGCATACACACATCTATGTGCATTCATGTGTATATGTGCATACACACATCTATATGCCCTATATCTAGAGACTGCTGTTCTCCCACCCCCCCACCCCTTTCCCACTATATATATAGATACAGACTTACAGCGATGTTAACGCTCACAATTCTCTTCCTATATATACACACACTTATAGTTATATACATACACGTATACAGAGAGCTGTTCACTCACAATTACACAAGTCTCTCGCTACACACACACACACACACACACACACACGTATATACACATATACACAGGTATATTGGGAGGGGAAGAGGCAACGCGTCTCTCATGCTCTCTCCCCCTCTCCCCTGTGTATATATACATACATATATATATATACACTCATACATATATAGAATTGTAGAATCGTGGAATCATAGAATCGTTTAGGTTGGAAAAGACCCTTAAGATCATCGAGTCCAACTGTTAACCTAACACTGCCAAGTCCACCACTAAACCATGTCCCTAAGCACCACATCTACCCTTCTTTTAAATACCTCCAGGGATCATGACTCAACGACTTCCCTGGGCAGCCTGTTCCAGTGCTTGAAAACCCTTTCAGTGAAGAACTTTTTCCTAATATCCAACCTAAACCTCCCCTGGTGCACTTAGCCTTGGTGAATCTTTGTATATATACAAAGAAAGTAATAATTTTTTAATCTAGTTTGGAACTTATTTTGAGATTTAAAAACAACAGAAAAGAACTGTGGGCAGCAAGAGAAAGCAGTATCGCGTGTGAGAACAGCTCAGTTTATAGCTACGTAGGCATACATATGGAGAGAGAACAGTGTGTGTTTGTGTAAGCAGCACTCTAATTTATGCATACATATAGAATTGTGTGTGAACAGTCTCTCTGTGTATGTGTAAGTGTACACGTATATATGCATCTATATAGAAAGAGACAGTAGTGTGTGTGTGTGAGAACAACTCTTGCTCGCTCCCTACATGTGTCTGTCCACACAGAGAGAGGCTATGTATGCACACACTTATACATACATAGACACCACACACATACATACATACCCACGCATTTATGCTCCCCGGGGATGACACACGTATATGGGGCGGGGGAGATGGGGCGACAGAAACGGCGTGTGTGAGGGAACGGCGCTGGCTCTTCCTCTCCAGGCTATAGGCAGAGGTACCTATAGAGAGAGCAAGAGTGAGGACTGTGTGTGTGAGCAGCTCTCGCTCGCTCTGTGCACGCGTGTATCCGTGCATATACATGTATATAACGAGAGAGAATCCTGTACATGTACTTGTGCATGAACAGCTAAGTATAGATGTATATATGCAATTCTATATATCGAGGGGGGTAGTGTGTCTGTGCGAAATACCACACACGCGCTCTCAGTGTGTGTATATATATATGCGTCTCTGTATATATGTGCATGCAGAACGAGGGCGAGAGAGAGAACTGTATGTGAGAGAGCGGACAGGTCTCACCCCCCTATCAGTGTATATGCATACATTATGCATACGTGTCTGGGTACGTGTGTATAATGAGCCTATTGTTTGCGCGTCTGAACAGAACACGCGCGTGCTTTCTCTCTCTCTCATCCCCCCATGTCTATATATGAACATAGGCATATATATATATATGTGTACACCTATGTATACAGGCATATATAGTGACAGAGAACTGTGTGTGAACCTCTCATACTCTCTGTATATATGCATATACATATATACACCCTGAGATAAAAGGGTGTGAGAAGTGTGTCTCTCTATATGAGTATGTATGCATATATGCCTATATATGTGTGCGTATATAAGAGTAATTGTGTGAGAACCACTCACTCGCCATACGTGTATATATGCATATACGGAGCGTGTGAGAAGCGTGTACGTGTGACCAGCTCTCTGTTTATGTATGTATGTATGTATATGAGAGAGATGTGTACGTGAACAAGACACTCACTGTGTCTATGTAGGTATATAGGTACATATAGGGGGAGAAGGTCTGGCTGCGTCTTGGGGCTATTTTCTCCCATTCGCTCGCTCTCTCCGCACACAGCCCCCCCATACGTTGTACTCAAATATGTCTGTCTTCACATAGGTACGCACGGGCTGCCAGCGCTCGGAGCCCCCTCAGCCCCCGGTCTCGCTGCTCGCACCCCCCGATGCGCGCGAGAGCACGGCGCTGCCCGGCCACTCTCTCGCACCCCCCTATATCTTATTTAAATATTTATATGTTTATGTCCATATGTTAAAAATACATACCTAGGTGTTTACGCGTATGCGCGCACTTACATCTCTTTTAAATTTACACATAGCCATTACAATAAACAATAACTATTCTATATCACACATATGTAATACCCACACAACACGCACCCTCCCCCTATAGGACCGTAACATATAGCCAGCTTAGCCGTACGTTGCCGTTTGGTTACAGCGTTGACTCCACACACGCAGACACGTACAGGGCTGCGTGTTCCGCACACGCACACGCATCTATACATCGCGCATCCCA